TGGGACATGAGTTCCGACAAAGCTAAGCATATTTACTCTTCTAAGCGGCCATAATACGCAAGCCCATTGACGAGTATATATCGGCTGAGCACACTTCCATTTCGAATGACTATGGTGCAGAGAGTCGAAGGTTGATCCCACCAGAGGACGACCACTAGCAGATCCTTCCTAGCCACATGTCGGTTGGCTTCACTGGAACATGCGTTTTGGCGCTGTTTCTGAGGGAATTTATTTTGATTCCGATGAAAAAGTGCCAAGCATCGTTTGTCCTATAACGAAATCACTAGAGCAGGGTATCATCCTTGCAATGATATTAAAAAGAAGATACGTTATATACTGGTTGTCTGACCTCGTTTTCTCAACTTGATCATATTGGCCTGGTTTTATTGGTCACAATTTTTGGCTCAGTTCACAAGAGGTCAGGTATATCCACTTTCAATCGTCCTCCTTAGTCCCGAAGTTATTTTCCCAAAATCCGAGTTTAAATCTGTTCTTTATGGCACCTACATTTATTTCCATGAATTCTCTGGGGTACCCTTTACTAGAGCAAATCTGAGTCATTTTGTCCAACTCCTCTTCTAAGAATTCAGTATTTGTTAGTCTTAAGCTTCTGATGATCAAATTCCTCAGTATTCCGATCTTCTTATGGTGAGACAGAAAATTAAGGATTATTATCGAATGTGAATTCTTTCTGAATAGTCCCCTCATGAGTGTCCTGTTGGAGCGCATGACCTCAATATCCAAGACAGATAGTCGTTCATCCTCCTCCAGCTCCATTGTGAATTTAATTCGTTCATAAAGTTGGATAATACAATTTAGGAATCTCAACAATTATAAAACAAGATATTTCTCGAAACCCAACTTTTATTCGCATAATATATGGCTGGCATTGTTAAGGGAGCAATGAGTCAGCATCACTTGATCAGAAGCAGACATAATAAGCAGTTTTACTTGACCTAGTTTCTACAAATGAGTTATGCTTGCATAAGTAATCCAGAGAAGAGTCCCGGAATTACTCGTTCTATCAATCTACTCGTGCATTTTATGCTCCCAAAACCCCAGTCTGAGCGCATTCTCAAGTGGCTCTCACCAGCCAAATCGGCAGCACATAAGGGCAGCACCCTGGAGGCACAGAAATAGGCACATACAAAGTCACTAGCATTCGAGGCTATTTTAAAGGCAAATGTTATGGCCAGCTCCCCCAAAGCCCTTTACCTTTAGCACCATATTCCATCAGAATCATAACCGAATACTAATCAAACAACTCTCACAGGAATATGAACTTAGCTACAATAGGTGGGTTAAGGCGAGTTAAGGAATGATAGTTGAGCTATCCTACAATCAGATCAGTAGGTCTCAGGGTTCTAATAAATTTCGCTTAGCCTTGCCTCACAAAAGAGTATCTCATCTTAGATCGACTGTACTTTTTTCGATCTCGTCTAGGTCTTATCATAACTCACAACATGATTCGATAGCAAATTGTGAGTATTAAGATGTTACCGCTCGAGTACATAGCCATGGATGCCACAGTGTTCCGGTGCAGATATAGCATGAATCATGATAACTACTATGGCAGACGACTTCGGACTAGATGCGTTCGACATAGTCCCCCTGAAAACAAGATCAAGTTGCGACAACGAGGTCAACCCATCTCTATAGCATTATTATTCAAGTAATACTGATAATCTCGAAAACTGCAGATACTAAAAATGGGAAATGCCGTAGAGTCCGATAGCAAATAGATGTTTGCTTATTCTATAATACCCCTATAAATGTGATTTAGGAGTGGTCTGACTTGCCTCGAATGGCAAAGTTGCTCTGTGACACACTGGCATCCTTGGTTGTGTAGTGGAGTGGTAACCTTTACTGCGATACTCACAACCTGGTATCGGATCCCTTTGGAGTTGTTCATGAGACCGCAGTCCAGTCAAGGCTAGGTGAGATAGCCTCTTTGGAGGCAAGGCTAGGTAAATTTACTGGCATCCAGGGGGACAGGTAACTTAATGTGGGGAAACTCAACTGGCAGTCCTTAAATAACCTCAAGCGACTTATGGTGGCTAAGTAAAGAGAGCTAAACAGAGTTTCCTTACATGCCGCATGTGATCACAAGAACTAGATAAAATATGTCATGAACTTATTCGGTTTGCAGATAATCGAATCAATCTACGTAAGTAAAAGTTTAAGATTCCAAAGAGTTTCTCTGAACTTTCGCCTGTACCAATGCTAGAGACATCGTCATAGCAGAAACTAACCTTTGCTGATTAATGATTATAATTGATGATGTTGCTTATATTAACCAAAAGTGGGCTTCAAAACTATCGGTAACTCTTGAATAAAAACTTACTGATAGTTTCGGAATATGCTCACAATAAATACAAGTGACATCATAAACTGTAATGGCAAATACATGGTATAATCTTCGACAACCATGCTAAAAATGTGATTTGCAAAGGCCTGGTTGGTCTGAAATTTCGCATCTGCCATATGACGCACACATACCTGTGGTTGCGCACCTGTGGTTGCGGATGAGAAAACCATTAGGAAAGCTAGGCCAAGCGAATTTCGAAGGCACTCTGAGGCTAACTCATGCAAATGCGGGAAAAACACACTATAAATCCCTAAATAACTTTTAGCCACTTAGGCTGATTAGGTTGGTTTCACACTTCCATACCGAATGGCAGAAGAGAGGCCTTACCACTCCATTGTATCTGATGCGCAGAATCAGGAAGGATCCGGCAGGCAGATCTGCAGGGTCCGGGAACTGATCCGTGCCCGATGCGTAGCCGGACGCAGTCAACCTGACCTCCTGCTTGTCTTCTCGGCCAGTCAAGGCTTGGCTGTCGATGTAGGCCTGGCTCCTGGACGAGTCACTATGTGGACAGACCGTCGACGCTGTCTCCCGACAAGCAAGCAAAGGATCACAGACGAAATAGTGTTGCCCAGGCCCCAAGTGAAATGTCGTCAGGCCCAGTTGGCTGGCGGTCAGCATGAATTCGTCATTCGGAGTACTGGGGCGGCGCGAGGACAGGCTAGCATGTTGCTCGGCAGCATCCACGTCACTATCACTCGACGCGGCCTCCTCGACGTCTCCGGACGTCCCGGAGGTGACTTTGAGAGGGCTGTCTCTTTCCGAGCCGGTAAGCTGAGTGCGACTTTCTTGGCGACGTACCGTCATGCTATCTGCTATGAGCACAGCTGACCACAACTTAACTGACGAATTGGATCCTTCGCGTCGTTCTGAGTCAGCTGTCAAGCTGGGCTCCGCCGACGGGGTAAAGGTGAGCGGGGAATGTAGCTCCAGACAGGCCTCGAGCTCGCCGCAACCAGCTTCTTGACTGTCCACTGAATGGAGGAAATTGCATAGCAGATTTTAAGAACAAAAATCTGCATCTGCTTATCCTCACTAAAGCGCATATTATTTTTCGATTAATTAATCTAACGAAAGATCACGTGTCCGGATGGTGGCAAACTGGGAAAGGTGAGTTGGCCATTTCGTCAAGTTTGGATATCGGATGCAAGCCGGATGTGTTTAGGGTCACTGGAATGTAGAGTTACAAGAGGAGAATCTACCAAAGCCCTCATTCACTCTGTCTTAATCATTTCCATTGCAGGTAGATTTTTGCATGATCGCATATATTAAGGATATGTTTGTGCTGTTCCGCCCATGAATAGCAGGTATTGACCTTTCTTGAATAATACGTTGTTCGGTCTATGTTGTCTAAAGTGATTTAAGAACTGACGATCAAGTTTTTTAACAATGAACTGAGTAGGCGTCATGATAAGAAAATATATCTTGGAACCTACTTATTTCATTAAAGAAAAAATCAACTATCACTACTTAGATCACCTTAAACGAGTCTAAGGTGATTAAGTTAATCGTCAAGAATTACTGATAGCCTCGAAATCGGGTGAAACAGAAAATTATATTTCTCAATGACCAAATATGAGCACTTTAACTGAACGAAATCGGTTTAATTCCAAGATCTTAGTCTAGAAGAAATGAAATCGCCTCGAAGATGTAGATCCATCTTCTTGCCCTCCAAAACATGATTTCGGTTAGGTCAAAGTGCAATGTGGGCATCATCTAAGGTATGATGAAAATGTACCAGCTACATTAGCTCGGCAACATCTTTAGTTAGTGCAGAGAAGACAGGGCTTAGGGCCAATACAGTCAATCCAACCAGAAGGCGATGATGAATTCCTCTTAACCAGCTGCCATTTGAATTTGCTGAGATCCTCTGGCTGATGTAGTCCACGCATTAATCACTTTAGATACGGGAGAAAACTTAGTAAACCTTCACCCTTCCTACCATTCGACAGATTCTATTCAAGCTGGAAACAATTTTCCCTAATACCTTGAGATAGTAAATAAAAAATGCTCACAGGCGTATCCCTAGATGGCTTAATTTGTAAGAGTAATTATTAAGCTTACCTCCATTTCGAGAGAAGGTGTTTGATAAAGAGATTCGAAGGTAGACGGATTACTTTAGACCAGCTGTCGATTGGCTGGCCAAGAAAACTCCATTGGTTTGAATTTTGTTGAAAGGATGATATCCTGCTCTGATAATTGTCGTCATATGACGGACGAAAGCTTAGCATGTTATCACCGGAATCAAAGGAGGTTACCACGGAAACAATGTCAACAAAAAATATTCCAGTAAAGTCAGTCGAGACTAGTAAGAGGAATCCGTCGTACTCTTTAAGTGAGATAGACCTTCAAATCTCTTTATCAAACACTTTCACTCGAAATGGAAGAAAGCTGAACCATTATGAAACAAGGGATTCCTCAAAACCCTACTTTTCTTCGCACATACTTTGTGAAAGTAGTAAAGCAAATGGCTCCAAGTAATCGGACCTGAGCATAATATGTGTCGGGTCATAAGAGCATCACCCCGAAATCATGGTTCAGGACATTCGAATGGTTAAAATAAAGAGATTCTTGTGTCAAATACGATGAATTGTACTTAGATTCATAACTAAAAACACCAGTAGAGTAGGTATGTAGGAAAATGGGTTTCGGAGAAACCCGTGATAGATTGATAGAGTAGTAGCCTTCATTTTGTTAAAAGAGTCGAATCGAAGCGATTCGTAAGTTGGTCTCACCAGAAGCTGAAGAGTGAATGTCTCTGAACGGTGGCCGTGAATGTGTGCGAATAGGTCCTCGGCGCACGGCTCTGCAACCCCAATGAATCCTTGCTGAGCTTTGGTCCGTCATCTGACGGACATCGTCAGAGCAGGACACCATGTTTAATAATGATTCACCAAAGCACGAAGACAAGAAAGCTGGCCGGCTTCAAGCCTACCTACTTCTTATAATCCAGCATGGTCCATATATTTGGATATCTTATGCATTTTCTACATGTTTGTTGAAAAGTGAAGTGGCTGCAAATGAAACTTGAAATGGATGCAATTATGACCGAATAACTACATTCGTCCATAAATCTCTTATGCTTTTGCTTCTGCAATGCTGCCGCATGTGATTGCGTCCCATTGCATGTGTGCTGTATTATTCAGTGCTAATGAGTTACATGAGGTTTAATCGAAGGTATGAAGACCAAGATGACGTGGCCTTTTGTATGGTCGCAGTCTCCTTTCGATGTATAGAAGTTGTTTGACCTTGTTTTCGCAACATGGTCATTTTTGTAGGAAGACTTTGAGGAACGCACCTTGTACAGAGTCCATTGTATGCACCATTATTTCCAGAGTAGGACCGTAGACGTGGTACATTCCAAGACGTATCGCCGGCATCGTAGTCGGTATCGTCAGTGTGTCTCGCCATTCGTAGCACCATATTACAAAGAGACAAGTGAAGCCCATCCTTTGACCAAACTTGTGCTAAATAATTGTTGTATCTCCCCTTCTGCCCTGGCCTATTCACATTTCCTATATCCTTCTATCATGCCTTCCCTGTCACAATTTTCACCGTGCTTAAAGGGGAGTGTGAAGGGTTTTCATGAATGCCGCTCGAAGGACCACACCACACTACCTTAAAAATAATCACGGTAAAAATTGTGACAGGGAAGGCATGAGAAGAGGATATAGGAAATGTGAATAGACCAGGGCAGAAGGGGAGATACCACAACTGTTTAGCACACGTTTGCGTTCCTCTCAGTCTTCCTACCAATATGACCGAGTTGCGAAAACAAGGTCAAACAACTTCTACGTGAGGTTTAAATTTAAAAGCCATATTTGAGGCTAATCAAGCCTTCTTTTGCTCGGCCGTACTTGTCGTTCCCTCTCTTTCTTTCTTTCTCTAATCCTATCCAACAGCTACAGGTAGTTTCCACTCAACTTCCTACACTGCTTCTCTTAATTCAGAATGTTGGTTAGTTTGTTGATTTCTATAAAATCTCCAATCTTCTGCTTCATGGTATGGTCGCCATAATCAGCCAAGCGTTCGCTATTAGACCAATCTCTCTGGTGTCCTGTGCAAGCCATAGATTCGGCCAATTTAGATTTTTGAACCCATGAATCCTTGCATGCTGCTTTTTGTTCAGATTACCCCTCATGCATGGACTCGCAAATTTGTCCTACATAGGCGCTACCGCATTAACACAAAATCTGGCAGCAGCCCGATTTGGAGAGAGGGTCAGTATATTGTCTAAAAGAAGACAAACCGAGGAAAGTGTTATCTTCTCTCTATAAATAGTCATGATGTTCCATATCCTCAGTAATTCGCCTATCTTCTGCCAATTACAGGATGACAGCATAAGGACTCTGGTAAATTGGTCTTATATTTTGTCTAACCTCATTATGCAATTTCCCTCAGTTCTATTTGACAATATTTTAGGATAGTTGTCAATCAGTCCTCGTGGATGACTGTTATCAACCAGAACTTTACTTAGTCTTCACAATTCCTGATCCCAATGATTAACAACTGCCAGACGCAGACGCCTTATTAGCATAGACTTCATAACCCTTACTTTATCTGCACAAGTGTGATTGGAAAAGAAATTCAAAAGGAAACCTACGTTTATTGGTTTCCTATACACATTTCTACCTAATCTAGTTGTCTCTTTCCTAACTAGAAAATCTAGAAAAGGTAAAGCACCTTCCTTTTCTAACCCGATAATGAATTTTGTCTTCCCAAAACCAATAAAATTCTACAGGTTTTCTCTGCCATTCTATCAGGCGGCTAAGTAGTCATCCATAAGGTGAGGCAAGAATTGAGGGGCTATAAGTGCCGCTTGAATTAGGCGCGCCTCAAAGTTACCCATGTAATATTTTTCTAAAATTGGTCACAAACACGACCCAATTACTAAGCCTCGTACAAGTTGCTCATACAGTTTACCAATTAATTAAAATAGGGACAGTACATTGCCGGATTTGTCAATATCATTGTTGACACTACTTAACTTAGTGCTTCTTAAAATCTGCGAGTGTTGGTCTAATAATGTCCATTGAAGATCTTGTGTTGCATTAACTACACATATATGTATACGTAGATTTAAAATTTATACTTACAATCTCGTCTTTTTCGACTATTTTAACAAAATCCTGACAATTTTATGCTGAAGTCCGTTACGTTTCTGGGATTTGCTTTAACTGCTGACAAATAAATCATGATATTTTATGCCTCACGTTACCCTTATTATTCACAATAATTCTAAGTGCGACTACTTCTTTATGCATTTTGGGAAAACCATATGCATTCGTTAGCCTAGCATATCATTGAGGAAGAGTGTTTATCTTCCACTTATCCAGTTCCTCCTATGCTACACAGTAATGTAGGCAACCACTAAATTTAGACTTGAGGATTTCTATACGAAGCAGATGGGGATTTCGAAGAATCTTTTAAGATAAGATTGCTGTGAAGACTTTCATTTTGTATGGAAGTACATGATGAAGGGATTTGTTTGTCAACCCCACCAGAAGACGCCAGGTGATTCGCGTTTTACTGCAGCATTAATAAGAAGTTCAGGTTGCTGCAGTCCATTAGAAATCCACCAACTTTTCGGGCGAAGATGGACTGAGCTTTCGTTCATCATGCCACTTAACCAATATTGCCATAGCTTGGACTTACTATTACAAACGCCTCAAGTTAAAACTAAGTCAAGAAGACTGATAGGCTCTTTTCTATATGATATATATATACGCAATGTGAGCAAAATGTAAGATACAGGTGCATGTAGAAATGTTTGGATAATTCACGTATACTCGGGTGTATCTGTGCGCATATGTTTGCTTGTCAGTACACAAAACCGGTCATAACTCAGAGTAATGAGAAAAATGCTTAACGTCATTTCCGCGTAATCAAGGCTTAATTACACAAGGAAAAAAGGATGACCGAGATTGCGTTAGTCCAATAGGTAACCCTGGTTAAATTGATGAGATATAGTTGTGTACGCTTGAAATTAAGGTCACAAAACCACTAGTTCGATCCCATCAGTCTGGGTTGCCAAGTTTTAATAACCCAAGGAAAGCTTGTCTGAGATTTCCAGCATTGAACCATTGGCTGGGTACATCCCCAGCTGGTAATCTTTGGCGGATCAACCGACAGGCCCCGCCAAAATAAGGTCGGCCGCAGAAGCACATAAGCTTGTAACAGCCAGATCTTGATAGAGGAGAATATTTCTGTCTAAAATAAGGCACAACCGAAGAAAGTGTGTGAGTCTCTTTAAAAATGCCTTCATTTCCCACTTCCTAACTAGTTCTACTATATGAGAGGTATTCACCCTATTTCGTTTGAGGTGATGAAGGACTGGTAGTAGAATTTTTCCACAATGATATGTGTAGAGCTGACGCTTCCTTTAAATTTTACATTGCCTTGCTTTTCCAAAAGTTTTTCTCATCCAGGCACGAGTGTACTGCAGTTTCGACCTTTCTTGAAATTCACTTATGCCCTGTGACTTAAGGGTATTCGTGATAGTGTAGCCGAGTGGTTAGTTTGTCAAGCTACCGTCCTGCACTGTCGCGGTTCGACTCCCGCTGAGGGTGTTGGTTAAGACCGATGCGAGGTCGAAACTGCAGTCCACTTCTGTCTAGATGAGAAGAACTTTTGGGAAAACAAGGCAATGTGAAATTCAATGGAAGCGTCAGCTCTACAGATATCATTGTGCAAAAATTCTACTACCAGTCCTTCATCACCTTAAACGAAATAGCGTGAATATAGCTCATATGACTGATTTACTGGTAGTCTCGAAACTCTACTCGAATATGAAAATAGTTCTCCTATCTTCTCATAAAGAAAACACGATGATAATATTAGAACATGAAAAATGATCTCGGCTTGCCTATCTCTGGCCAAATAGTCTCAGCCTGAAAATTTATTCTTCAGTATCAAGTAAGCCCAAAGAATAATTATTCTTCAGGAATAAAACTTTCAATCTTCTTAACTCTTCGGTCAGATGCTTTTCATCTGCAAGCCTCATACTCCTAACACGCATAGATTTTAAATTTCCAACCTTAGTTTTGTAATTATGGTTAAAAATAAAATTAAGAAAAAAGCCAGCATATGCTGGTTTCCTAAAAACATCACTGCTTAACTTCTCTCCTTCCATAATAAGCATTGCATACATAAAAGAAAATTTCGTATTTTATTCTTATTCCATTGTGAATTAAATATTTCTTTTACGCTGGTTAAGTGAAAATAATAAACTGTCTAAACTCTCGCTATCATGCTGCCAGATCACAAAATAATCATCCTTCTTTATGCACCTTTGGAAGGCCATAAGCAGAGGGCGCCCTAGCATCTCTTTGAAATATGGAATTCATTGCCCACTTCTACCTTTTCCCAATACTCACCCATACCTACAAAGCATTTCTTAGCCTAGTTTTAAGTCCCTCTGTAGGATATTTCATTCAAGGCCTATGTATCTGCCATTTAAATGCACAAGAATCTTTTCTAGTG